ATATAATGAGTATGCATATGTATGTGGTGTGTACAGTGTATGCATCTCTAGTCATATTCATTGATACATTGCATTTGTACTTTTTAGCAAGGTTTTAAATGCAGGACTTTGAGTTGAGCGAAACATATGAGATGGCCTTAAAGTGCTTGGAAAGAAAAGTAATATGTCAACTTTATAAAAGCTAGTCAATTAGCCTTTTTATGATATTTTCACCACTATCACTGATGCTGTGTTAGCTCACTAATTTAACATATGTGTCATGTTGTTTTTGCCATTTGTGTGATGTGAAGCAACAGTATAAGGTCACATGACAGAGTTAAAGTTAATGGAAAACAATTCGCCTCTTGAATCTCTCCATACATGCAAGGGAACCTGTTTTAAGCTGATTAAGTACATAGTAATGAAGTAATAGTGGCTTTGCATCTTCCTCTTGCTGATTGGAAATGTGTCACGAACAGCAGTGTGCTGCAGTAAAAGCCAGTTAATAACTTTATGAGGATCCTTAGCGCTTTGTCCATATCATTAATGCTCTTCACAGTCAGAAGTGGCTTAAAGCAATAAGCTGCCTGCCTACCCCTGTGGCTAACTTTGACTGCGTTAAATAGGAGTGTGGTGTTTTTCCACATAACGTTCACTCACTGAGAGTTACGTGAAGCTTTGCCTGTGTAAGCAGTAAAAGCCTTTTTCTGTCTTCATTTAGTCAGTCCTGTCTTGCAACACGTTTTTGGCAATGTTGGCGAGTTGTTCTGCCTCAAGAAATCACAACAATCAAATATATAATCATGGAAATTCACTGTCACAAGAAGATGAATCCCACTCACTTTGGTGATTCCCTAGTTTTTCATGTAGCTGGTTGACATTTTTTGTTAAGATTCTGATAAATGTTCTAATAAATAACCATTTCCCTTAACCATCAAGGGGGGAGTTTACCTTACTGCAATAGGCTACTTTAGTTTAGTAACCAATCTATTTACATTCATGCTAGCCTGCACTGGAGCATGCGTTGTGTTAAGCCACATGTGTCAAACTCAAGGCCCGGGGGCCAAATCAGGCCCTTGGTGGATTTAATTTCGGCCCACAGGATAATTTTTAATTACTATTAGATCTGGCCCGCCGGTATATTGCACGCACACCTTCACTCAATCCTGAGGATCTCCTCCGCTCAGAGCCTGACCCCAAACATTGATGAACTTGCACCCAAGATGAGATGCCAAGTATCTGGCTTGAACTAGCATCACAGAGCAGCACACTGAGTTTCAATGGATGTTTCCTTCTGCACTTTCTTTCTTGCGACAACAGGGCATGTTTGTTTTTTTCTTTGAGGGAAATTGTTTTTTTGAAGCTGTTGTTGGCCTGTGGATGAATGTAATCATAAGAAATGACTGAGGAAAATCTGTAGATAGAGCCATAAGAAATGAATGCAACTGATTATTTAATGCTTAATGTTGTTTTTATAGGCAATCATTTAAAGGGGACCTATCATGCAAAATGCACTTTTGTACATCTTTTATACATGAATATGTGTCCCCGGTGTTCCAGGGAACTCACCAAGTGTCAGAAAACACAACCCTCTCTATTTTCCTCCATACCCAAATCTCTAAAAAAGGGGCTGCAACGGATCTGATAAAAACTGATCCAGATTTGAACACTGTCCTGACGTCAGGACGGTGGCGCTACGGCTATTGGGCCAACTCCACCAATCAGGAGGAGACAGCCACGGCCATTGCCGTTCGAAAGCGCTGGAGACGCTGTAGTACATATGCCAGGCCTGTAGGTGGTGCTGTTCTCACTGAATCTGCCCTTGCAAAAACAGAGCTAAAAAATGTCAAATTGAGCAAAATGAGGCATGGCTAAAATGCATGATCTGTTTGGTATTTTGAAAAAAAAAAAAGTATAAATATGCCTTATATAGGTATGGTCCTACACTCAATTATTCAAATATAGCATGATAGGTCCACTTTAACTTTTCTCAAATAGTTAAACTTCTGACCAAATACCTACCGAACAATAGGCTGCTGGTCATAACATTCCCATAGCCCTCAGTTGTACTGTGTTTTTTGCTAATGTTATTTATAATATAAGTTCATTTTAAATGTGCATGTTTGCATTTTAATTGTAAGCATATTAGCAAGTCGATATAAGCGTTAGGCTTAAAGCATTGCAGTGCCAAAGTCCAGACTTAAAGAGCTGCTAGCATACTTGAGTTTGAATAATGTATTAACCAGGCATTTCATCACATTTGATCCAATGTGATGTTTTCCTGTTTCAAGGTAAACTCTTGATTCGTTTCTCATAATAAAATATGTAAGTTAAATTCATTGGTTGATAATTATTAAAAGCAGTATTTCTAGATGTTCGGTGGCTGTTTTGAGCCCAGTCTCAAGGCCACAGGAGAGAATACATTTAATTATTCCTCTCTCAGTTAAAAGAGACAAAAACCTTCCCACTGAAATCCACTTGCCTCTCTGCATTGTGCTCCCTCTCTCCCCTGACCCTCCCGTCTGGCCTTTACTCTGTCTCATGCTCTGTCAACATCATCTGCTGCCGTGGAGCAGACAGGCTCAAAGGACGACCTTTTTACTTTCCTGCAGGTGGCTAATGTGACCAAGAGGCAGCACCAATCCCTCCTCCTCCAGCACCTCGTTTCCTCTACAGCTCCACGCTACTGCATTCTCCTGAGCCAAAATACTTTCAAACTATAAGAAACCACAAAGGCATCTCTCACTCCTATTTAAAATGTGTCAGCAGTGTATTAACAATTACAGTTTTATGTGTAACTGTGACACAGTTTTGCAGACATTTGTGGTCTTTGAATGCCCCTTAACTCTTATTTAGTGCTTTTTTAAAGAATTTCTTGGGGTTAAATGTTTCAAAATAAACTCTTGTCAACTTAATAACATATATATCACTTATTTACATCCAAACAGATTAAATTAGTATTTCATGACTTGAGTGTTTTGCCTTTTGATTTTGTTTTTGAAAGTTTTCTATACAAACAAAATATTTTAAAAGGATTTGAAAGGATTATAAGCAGCATGCAAACACATACACAATGGTTTAGCATTGGAAATACAGTTGACTGCTATTTAAGGACCTTTTTAAGTGTTTACTGTATTTACATGTTGCTTTCTTATTTGTCTGAAATACTTATTATACATTGGGCCTGTCGGTATAGTGTGTTTATAAAGGCTTTCTGAGACTGTGGTTACTTTAAGATACTTCAACAGTTTACTTTTGTACCTGTATTTGACAATGTTTATTTTTACCTATGGATTAATATGTGTGTAATGTTTTAATTTTACTTCGGTATAGATACATTTCACCATCCGTCTTTTTCATTTTCAGCAACATGAAGTTCATTTGAAAATAGAACCACAAAACAATTGACATTGAAAGAGTAGGATTGTCTGCAAATGTCAACCTTTAAGTTCAATTTTGCCTATTTGAAATATCTCTTAGCACCTCAAATCACAATCCCTGCCAATTTAAAGAAAGGGAAAGTCATCACAGCTCTGCAGGGTCTGCAAATTAAGTGAGCAGTTTTTCCTTATCGAGAGCTCCTTGCTGTGTGGGAACATTCAGCAATGGCTCAGCATGTCAAACCATGTCAAGTGTTACAGTTCCCTTCCTGTTTCAGGGGGGAACAAAATATCACCCCACAGATGAATTCACCAAAAAGGCTTGTCTTTAGACCCCTTCCTAAAATGATTAACCCTTCTAGACTGCATTATTGAGTTCTGAGTGGTTGTGCTTTCTCATTGCCTGTAATTGTTCTTTTTCTATGTTGCCTTCATCAGTCTCTCTCCCCATTATATGAAAAGAAGGGAAAAATGTCTGAATAGAGGAGGGAGATTTTCCCACAGTCACTCAACTCAGAAAAATACGCCATTGTGGCCGGGTTCCCATCCCAATGCCCTGCTGCACAGTCCGCTGCGATTCAGGGACAATGTTCTTATAATTGAGTGACCATTCTTCCTCCTGTTTGAAAAGTAAGTGATGATGATGAGGAACAGGGTTAAATGTGGCTGCAAATCAGTGCAGTCTGCAGGTAACCATGTCTGATTGTTTCCCATTTGAGTAAAATCCTGTACCATTTAATGCACTTTAGTTATTTAAGTTGTATCCTATAGGCTTGATGTGCATTTAGTGTAAATACACGTATGCTCCTTTGAGTAAATGCACCCAGAAGATTTTTTCCTATTTGAGCAAAAATCTAATACTTAAACAATTACTGAAAGGTTAATGTTATCTGTGGTATGGGCCATAAGCCTTTCTAACTCATTTCATTCTCTCTTTATAATATCGGCATAACCTGCAACCCCCTGCATTTATCTTCTAGTAAAAGGCAAAGCAAGTCATTATAAACACGGGACAGTTTCAAAGGGTTTTATATGTATTTAAATGCAGTAAAAGCAAACAAAGAACAAGGAATATATCGGAAAGAATATATTATATATTATATAATATACTAACAAATTTCGAGGCAATGCAGATTTAAATATGAAAATACATCAAAACAAAGGAAAAAACTATTTTTAAAGAGTGATAAACAAATAATAATAATAATAATGGGTAAGCTTACTTGTAAAGCTGGTCAGAGATAAGGCACTCTTGATTCGGTTTTTTGTTCCAAATTGTGGTGCTAGTTGGTTGATTCACAAGACTTTACAAACAAACATATGATCTGCAACCACAACCTCTCTTTTACATTTGTATTCTTATGCTGAGGGGACTTAAATTGCATAAATTGAATTGGAGGAAACATATAATTCAAGCATATTTAGTTACATTTTATGTACATTTTATAAATAAAAAACGGTATGAAGCTGGCATATATAAATATAAGATTTTTAAAAGCGTACTACCCACATCGAATATAGCCAAATGAGGTCCATTTAAATATAATGCATTTACTTATATATATAGATATAGTACTGTCTGTATATTCAACTATTTTATTCTGCACAAACACAGCAGTGGTTCTGAAGAGAGCAGGCTGATCACGTGGTCTGATTACAAGCCAATCAGCGGGCAGTATTCTGCAGCTGTTTAACTGCAATGGCGGACACAATGAAGCTTAGTGGAAATCACCCTCCTCCTCGTGAATCCAGCAACATGTCCAGCAGCTACAGGGACTGCATGTGTGCGATACTGAAGCTCTTTTCAGACTTCGGGAGAGAGGTTGGTTCACATTGTTTTAGCCACATTTAGCCCCGAGATACGTTTCTTCTCCGTCCGAGTTGTATGTTAGCTCCATGCTAATGTTTTTAGCATCCCGGGTTTGCAGGACACACTTCATTCATTTTACTCAACATTCAAGCAGTGCTAAAGAAAGTAGCAATAACGTAACCTTCCCTTGTTTTTGTTGGTATTTATTTCATTTCAATTTACTAGCTTGTTACTTTCAGACGTGGTTATACCAGCTTTTCTGCCTCACCAATTTAAGCAACCTGCAACACCCTGCATTTTATTTTTTACAGTTTTAAGGCAAATGTATGGATGTAGCTCCTTTCAAAAATTGGCCTGATTCAAAGTAAATGATATGCATTTAAATGTAATAAAAGCAAACTTAAAGCAGTACATATGTATGAATATATGAACATAGTAAAAAAAACATTGGAGGCAATCCATATACAAATGAAAATAAGACATACAGTTAAGAAAACAATGAATGAAAGGAAAATAAAGCATTAAACATGACATTGTTTATTGGGATTCAATCTTACTTGTGAGATACCAGCCACCTCACCAATTTAAGCAAATCTCTCCTAATGTCACTTCACTCTGTTGTCATTAACCCCGCTCACCTCTCTGTTTCTAGCTCTCCCTGAAACCTGTATTTAACATGTGAACTCTGTAATTCAGGATCACGTGGTCTGAATTATTTAGCACTTACGTGATTCCTATTCCCGTCCATTCTCTTGGAAAAGCAAGAATAAGAATATCTTTGATAAATAGGTCATTATCAAATCTCAGAAAATGTCCATCATAATTCCCAGAGTCCAAAATAATATTCAAAATGGCTTGCATTATCTGACTAACAGTACTTCACCTAGATACTCAATAAAAAAAATAAAAGCAGAGAAAGGCAGAAAAAACTTACTAATGCACACTGGCTTCAAGTATTTGAAGCACTCAATTTGCTTTAATGTGTTGTGCAGTGTGGCCTCACTTTTTGTGTCTTTCTATATTTTTAAATCAAGCTCAAATTGAGTGATGCTGCTCTGAGAATAGAAGTCAACATCGATGCTGTGGATCTCCCGTCATCTCCAGATGCTCACGTGCACAGCTGTTTGCAGGAGCATATCACTAAATTACAGGTACATTGGCATCACATTAACACTAAAAGGGTTTGATGAAATGCTTTTAAATTGATGCCTATACATTATTATTTGTATAGGCTATTTTTAAACTGCATTATACCCTTTAATGCTTATTAGTAAAGGCCTATTTCATTAAAAAACTATTATTTAAATGAATAATTTGTGGCGACTGTGGCTGCGAGAGAGTGTGGTCGTCTTTCAACCAGAAGGTTGTGGGTTCGATCCCAGCCCATGCAGTCAACATGTCGATGTATCCTTGGGCAAGATACTTAACCCTGAGTTGCTCCCGATGGCATGGCCAACGGTGTGTGAATGTCAGGTCCTAGAGTAAGGTACACTGCTCTGTATGAATGGGTGTGAATGGGTGAATGAGTAGTATGTAAAGCGCTTTGAGGGGTCTTAAAGACTGGATAAAGCGCTATATAAGTACAGTCCATTTACCATTTGTGCTATGAATGCTATATTATTTTTTCCCATTTTTAAATAGGCTGTTTCAGAAAGCTTAAAGACGCTAGTGGATGCTCAGGGCGATACATCATCTACAAAAGACGTCACAACAGACGATGCCGTCACCTCGTCGTCACTCAGAGAGCAGATGACGGATCTGTCTGAGTTTTATCCTCAGAGCGCCGACGACGAAGACAGCAAGACGGCAGAGGATGACGTCATGGTTCAGATCCGAGCCAAGAAGTCAGAGGTTGGTCTCCGTCAGCAGATCTGTCAGCTGTTCTGGAAGTGACAGTTTTAGAGACCGCTTTACTCTATGTTAACCAAATGAATAATGATAAATAATTGCTCCCAAGGATGTGAACATGACGTGCCGCAGGGAAGCAGAGAATGAGGGGTCCTTTAGTGCGGTGGTTGGGTAGAACAGACCACATTGCTGGAGGGCTTTGAGAGAGGGCCAGGTCCTTGATGGATTATGAAGTGGATGCTCATTACTCTGAGATTGCATGTGGATGAAGGACAAGAGCCCCCCATTCTGTTGTGCATTTATTTTGGTAGCCAAGCAAACAGTATTCATATTCCATCATGGGATGATGGCAAGCAATTCAACTTTTTTGGCTACCTGAAAATATTTTCTACTGCATTTTCTCGTTCCATGTAATGCAAATGACTGTTTGCCCCCCAACTCATTGCTTTCTTGACACCTATCAATAGCTCACCAATCCACTGTATCTCATTAGCTTTGTTCTCTGTCTCCATTGAAACCCTAGATTGAGCGAAGAATATCTGCATTTATGGAACGCAAGCAGATGGAGATCAATGAAAACAATGTACGCGAGTTTTGCAACGTGATCGACTGCAATCAGGGTGAGAATGGGGAAGAGGTTGGGGGCAGGGTGGAGAGGGAGCCTGCACACAGATTGCCAATGTTTGGGAGAGAGCTGATTTCCACAGGCGAGAGGTCAGGCTGAACTGCACAAAGAGTGGGGCTGAAGTAGCTAACACACTCGGCCTCGAAACACAACCAGCTTAGCCGAGAAAAACACGAGGCCGAGGGCTTTTTAAATTCAAAGCCTGAGTGAGATACCAGTAATAGAAATCAGGACACACTAATGGCAATAATTGGCATTTAAGCCATCTATATAAAATGTTTCTAAGAACTTTAATTACATTTTGACATTACGTTCTAATTATATATTTTTAAATCAAAATGTCTCCTCAGTAGAAAACAGCTGTGCCAGGACAGATGCAGTTTTCACTCCTTATCCAGGTTTCAAAAGCCACGTGAAAGGTAAGGAAATAAACATTTCCTACAAATGTCAATGTGACATTTCTTAACAGCTTAATTCTTTTCAATTGCACTTATCTTTTTAAGTAAGTCATAGGTCCATAATCGTTAAAATTAATGAAGAAAAATGTCTTGACAGATGACTTGACAGAAATTGTGTTTTTTTAAATATGTTTTGGTTTAATGAATACATAAAAAGTATTATGAATGCATTAAATAAGAAGTGCTGAACCATTTGAAAAACCAACTAATAAACTACTGTGAATTAGTCTGAACTACAAACAAATGTCAAGGGGTTTAGTATGACCCCTTTATAGATCTGCATGCTTTGTCCTCAGACCCGTTTGCTCGTCCCTGGTTTTAATATCATGGCTTTTGTTTGTGTGATCTTCTTGCCTGGCTAGTTACCCGGGTGGTGAACACTTACGGGCCCCAGACTCGCAGTGGGGGGGGCCAGGGAGAGGCAGGGGATCCGCAGAGGGGCCCGATGTTGAGAGACTGTGGAAACGCAGCCATAGAAGAGCGACTTCAGAACATCGAGACTCACCTGAGACTCCCCACAGGTCAGACATGTGACAAAGTCTCTCACTGTATGTTACGTTTAACATGTCTGAAAGGCTTACATGTAATTACAGAAACAATTTTGCACAAAAATAGTGTGTTCGTGGGTGATCTTCAATCATAGCAATTTAAAATGACAGTGTATAGGACATGTAAATGTTATGGTCTATATGCAAAGTAGAATTAATCTGAAAAATAAGGATTCAAGGTTAATTTATTGTTATTTTACAACGAAATGCAGCTGTAGCTTAATCCATTATGCAACACACTTAAAACATAAATGAACAGAACAATAACATTAGTAGTAGTGCATTCCTGAAGTGCTTTTTAAAATATTGCATCAGGACTAATTGTAAACAACCAAAAACAATGATGAATTCTCTAGTCTAAGCAAGCTGATTCGAAACTGATATTCACATTATTAACAAAGACATATTTTATTTGGACTTCTCTTTTGAACAGGGCTTACTCACAATCCATACCCACGTCTGTTGTGGTGTTCATGTTAAACAACAAGTGTTTTCCTTCCTCAGCGGGCCCTGTTCCTCTGAGTGTGTACCAGAGGCTGAAGAAGCTGGAGGATCGGATCCTGGAGCTGGAGGGACTCTCCCCGGAGTACTTTCAGTCCACGGTGAGTCTTTGCTTTTAAAATAGATACATCAAAGGCACTTCATATTAAGTCAGTGTTTATACACATGTCTTTTATTGTAATAATGTGCGATTTTAATTCAATTTGCACATTTACTGTGTATGCTTATGTTAAGAAAATATCACTCGTCACCGGCTTGGTCTTCAATATCAGGATACATGTATTTATTATCCTCTCAAGAATGGAAGTAGTCATCACATACAGAGCTGCGTGGGACATAGTTCCCGAATAGTGTCCTTCACATGCTGATATACAAGAGAGTGTTACTGGCCTTAGTTCAGGTTAGCTAGGGCCTGCGTAAGCAATACACATGACTATCTCCATAGAGGCTGAATCATCATGTTAATCACATAGCTATCATATTCCTAAAACAGTCCTGACGCTCTTCTAGGTAATCATACATCCTGTTACGTACACAGCTACGTAGGGCCTTTGTTGTCATGTGCTACTCTGATATTAGAAGAGTACATTCAGTATTTTCCCAACAGCTTAAGGCTGGAGCCACACGGAGACGATAACGAAAACGAACCGAATTCGATATCAAAAAAGTCTTCCGTCCACACGAGACAGCTCGACCCGCTGGAGACGCTGTAGTACATATGCCGGGCCTGTAAGTGGCGCTGTACTTCCGCCACAAAATACACCAAAAGCAGCGAAGAAGACCCCCCGAGCATGGTTGCCCTTCTGTTTATTCTCCGCGGTGGATTTAGCAACATGTAGTTCATGTAATTCTCCATGTCCACTTGTTGCTGATGGTTGTGGTAGAGGAGCTGTAGATTTTGCACTAACATCTGTAGCATGGTCAGTAGCAGTAGCTACTGACCATGCTACAGCAGTGAGCAGCAGAGGTGGGGAGAGGCGGGGCTATGGCGTCATCGTTATCAGGAAATGATCGTATAGGGCGTACACACGGAGCCGTTTGCCCCCCAGAGCGTTGCGTCCGCAGATCTACCCACCTTGGGACCCGCTATCGTTATCTGCGTTTCCCTGTCGGCCTCGTGTGGCCGAACCGTCTATAAGATAGAGAACTGTAGCGGATACGACCCGTTTTGTCTCCGTGTGGCTGCAGCCTAAGTCCCTTAAAGTCATAGGTTTACCCTTCCTTTGCTAAAGACATTTGAACTGTGATGATTTTGGTAAGTCATGTGTTGGGGATGCCGTTCAATTATTGGTCATACACTTTCCTACTTTGTGACAAGAGTGTGTGGATGAAGCATTTTGTTGTTAAATGTTACTTGTATAGCGGTTAAGTCGTTTGCTAGCTAGCTAATTTGACCATGTTTCCATGATTCACTGAAATTGAGCTGCTGTTTTCTGAGGCTCCTCTCAGTCTAAGGACTGTGGGTTGTGCTAGCTAGCTAATTGTGGTGTGATGAACATTAAAACCATCAATTTAAATGGTAGCCGATGTGCATGGAGGCTACTAATCCAACAGTACAGAAGAACATTTCTTCAACAAAGGAAATGATACATAAGTGGTGCGTTTCTTGTAATTGGTTTGAATGGGTTTCACATCTGAAATGAAGTGCTCCAGTTTTCGATGCTGACCACAGAGTTTTTGTTTCGTCTCCCCCAGTTTGACCTCTGCACTTACCTTATCACCCAAAGGAACCACAGCAAGGGGATAAACGCTTCCGGTTTGGTTAAATCTTGCTAAACAAGGCTAGTGTAAACCCAGAGAACAGCGCACATCTCAATATGTCCGAAAGTAATTAATTGGACCATGTTCAATATTCAAGTCACAGACTCTCATTTCCAGTTATAGAGCGAGTGTGCTTTAGATGCTGCACGTCTCTTCAGATGGTATCTCTGATCTCCGCATGCTGCTGCTCTCCGTCTGCTTTGACTCACTGCATGTTTGTGTGAGCCGAGCAAAGGATGTTGAGTGTCTTTGAATAAACTGATGGGGTCTTTTATATTCGGAGTGCCACTTTTTTTTGGTGGCAATTTCTAAAAATGCTGTAGTTTGGTGTTTGCTGAAGAGCTGCACACAGTTGGCCCACAGGAACAACATCTTAACACTGAACAGTAAAGGAGGATCCTTAACAAATTATGCAGCAACTTAAAGATGAGCAATCTCGCAAGGTTCAAGCCAAAGATATGGAGTCAAAACACATTTTCTGAGCGGTGTTAAATGGGGGATTTCACAGATACGTGACACATTGCTTCCCTTGGTAACTGTCTCTAGATAAACAAAGCAACCTTACATGATATTCTAAAATGTATATGTAAGATGACCTTACACAATAGGCGCTTTCACACCAAGTACTTTGCCGTACTTAGTTCCCAGTACTTAGTTAATCAGAACTCTTTATTTCTGATGAACTAAAGAGCAGATCGCGTTCACACCGGAATAAGTCCCTGAGGGAGGATTAGTCAAATGAAGCCGCTGACGTCACTTCTTCTTCTTCTGCTTTGGGTTTACTGGCAGGCCGCAAACAACTTCACAGCGTATACTGCCACCCGAAGTCCCCGGAGTTGGGGACTGGCTTCAGTAGAAGCTGCTGGGACTCCCAGCAACTTCTACTGAAGCCTTCCGGGTAAATCGCCGGCACCTCCTCATCTCCACCGCTCCCATGTTTTCTTTTGTGTTGCCATAAGTTAGTCTCTCTCCGTTCGTGCGCGGGGCTAATGCTAATAATGCTAATGCCAGCAAATACAATGGCGGCTTCACCAAACTTTTCCGAGTTTTACGGGCCGTGGTTTGCAATCTGCCCAGCCAATCAGAAATTGGAACCTTTTTCTCCCCAGGAAAGTACCTGCTCTCTAGCAGGGACTGAAAAGGGGGTGAAAAGGTTCTCACAAACTAGGTTCTAGTTCCGGATTTTTTTGGTGTGAACGCAAAATGTCAAGAATTATCAGAACAATACTGGGAAAAGTACTCCGGTGTGAAAGCGCCTAATGTGTCTGCTGTTCTTTGCTTATAAAGGTTCACCTCTTGTATTTTGTCAAGTGCATATTTGAGAAATTCTCAGCCTATGATTTATTTTCTTTTTACAGTCCTTTGTACAGAAAGTAAACGGATAACGACCTCTGTATGCTCATAAAAGCTCAGCTAGTCTAGAATTTGTACTAATTAAAAAAAAGTTTAATGTCTACTTTTTTCAGAGTCACCTACACAAGCGACCAAAGACGTCCCCTGCTCAGGTCAGTAGTTTTGCTTCCTTTCCCTGCACTCTTTATGTAAAGGTCGGCCATTATTTGAAATGTTGATCAGGCTGTTATAATTTGTCCTTCAGGCCTGCAGTCTGACGGAGCTGGATGAGAAGATCAGTGCCGTGAAAGCAGCGCTATTGAAGAGGGTGAATGAATTTGGGCCTGGATATGAAGAAGAGTCACTGTAACACCTCTGTCCAAATACACTGTCTTTACGTCTAAAACTTCTGTGTTTCTCACCATCAAAAGCTTTTCTTATGAGCTTAATTTGACTGTATTTCTATAAATAGTTTTGTAGTTAACTGACATAATTGTCCTGTAATGAAATATATTTTCCCTTCATGAATGTTTCGACTCATGAGTTTTACATGTAAACTATTAACTGGGATGCATGTGCAATCGGAATCTTAATGTTGTCCATAGTTTCTACAAATAAACTTGCCTTGCCTAAAATAAACTGCCCAAAAGTCTTGCTATAGTATGTTGAAAAAAAACACGTAGTATAAAATGTCCGAGTGTCATAGAAGGTAAAATGTCACCAAAGGGTTATAAAAAGCGTAATTTTATAATTTTTCAACAAACTATACTATGACTGTTCTTTACAACTTTTTTGACATTTTTCAACGTACGTATGAATTTTAACAACTTGCTTCGACACACTATACTATGAATTTGTTGACATACTATATGACTTTTTTGTACAACTTTTCGACATACTATGACATTTTTCGACCTACTCTACTATGACTTTTCTATAAAAAATGTTGACACTACTATTAATTAATTTTACAACTTTCTTCGACATACTATGACTTTTTTTTATGACATACTAAAGAATGGGGCATGAAATGCAAGAACATTACCTTTTCATCCCTCCTTCTAATTTCCCCTTTAAACAGCTTACATGTAATACAGTACTCAGCTGCTGTGTCAACCTGGTCATTCTTGTGTTGGTATAAAATATGTCTACAATGTATGATTCTTATTTATTTCACATAATATACAATTTCCTTTCAAAGTCTGTTGTAAGGTCTGACTTACAATCAATAAAATGCTAACATTTGAAAAGCTGTAATGTCATAATTCTCCATAGGATTAATGAATCAACACTTTTCTGACATGTGTTGAATTATTCCAGCTCTAATAGATAATACAAGTTCTGATCTGAGCTACTCCTCAAAAACACAGCAAACAAATATGAAGTTAAATACATTTTTTCGTTAAACATTTTCAGGATTAATCTCTAATGCTGGCAGGGGGTTGTGTGTGCATGTGTGTGTGTTCATGTATGTGTGTGTGTGTGCATTTGAGATGAATCAGAGAGCACCTGATTTATCTGCCTGACTGCTGTGTGACAATGATCACCCCTAATGGTTGTCATTATACCAAATGACCTGATTACGGCATCTCTGTTTGGAAAACATATTGGAGACCCAACAAACCAGCATTAAATGAGATGCTGCTGCGTTTGACGCTGTGACATGTTTATAAAACGCTTTCACGTAGAGATTCAACTGAGCGTGCGGCTGGAGCTACAATTATGAGTTTTTCTCTTTTGACTTTTGATGAGTAACCCTGGTTCTTCTTACACCGAGTCATCAGTGCAACTAGTTCTTACACCCAAACTTGCAAAAGTGCAGATTTATTGACAGTTTTATGGTGAAGCCTGGACATAAACTAATATTCATTGATTTCTTATTTATAATAATAGTGTTGATCTTCATTAAAGAAATTCATGAGATGGAGAGACTGACATTTTTGTTAAGACTAATAAACGACTTGTAAACTGTAAGATGGTCTCATAACTCTAGATCGCATACTGTCTGGCAACTATGTTGTACTGTGCTTGTTTATTGTGTTGTTTGCTTTTTATTGTCTGAAAAAACTCAATAAAATCTAAGTTAAAAAAGTGTTGATCTAAATATAATTGTAGATGACATAAAGGTCATAGAGCAGTCATAATGATCTATTGATGGTATTATTACAACTACATTTTCATAATAAACATAGTGACCTTTACTTATACATTGTTAAATAAACAAAAATAATTTGTTAATTTACCAATTCACATCAAAATATTGGAATCTTTCTCTTGAACATTACAATTTAGTAGCTTGTTAACTGCAGATAATACATTGATTACAAGTTGTACTCTTAAAGTTACAGTACACCAAGTAAGAATACTTAATTTATATACTTTGTATTAGTGATTATAAAGTGGGATTGTTAATACTAAAGCATCTACTTTCAACTAATGGGGCGAAGCCTGCGAGCTAGTTCAGGCAGTCAACTCGAGCACCAATGATACATTAACACGTGACGCACCTCGTCCCTCTTACAACCAACCAAACACATTCTCCTAAACATGCCGCTCTATTGAAGCTGCCAGGTCTTCCTGCCTCTGCCTCGCTATGCTGCTGCTGCCACTGCTGTGTTCACTTGCTATTGCTGCGTTCATGTTCATGTTCCTGCTGCTGTGTTCACTTGCTATTGCTGCGTTCATGTTCATGTTCCTGCTGCTGTGTTCACTTGCTATTGCTACGTTCATGTTCCTGCTGCTGTGTTCACTTGCTATTGCTGCGTTCATGTTCATGTTCCTGCTGCTGTGTTCACTTGCTATTGCTGCGTTCATGTTCCTGCTGCTGTGTTCACTTGCTATTGCTACGTTCATGTTCCTGCTGCTGTGTTTCATGTTGCTGCTGCTCGCCTGCCCCCCCACCACCCCAGCTTCCACCTGTAGGCTCGGGGGATAGTTATCTAATCATCACTCAATGTTCTTTGTAAATCTGTGGAGTGATGAGGCCCGAGCCTAGACGCCAAACTCAAACTATATGCTGCTTCTAATAAACATATTAAGAAACACGTGAGTTGTCTGACTGAACTTTCTATTCAGTTTCAGTCCAGTGGTTGCACACCTGGGTCATTATCTACATCTGAGTGTGAAATGATTCATTTGTTAGGTTTATCTTAAGCTTTTTGCTAAATGATGTTACTCTTTTTGAGCCTCATTTAACTATATTATACAAACCATGTCTCTTAAATGGAACAGCTAACAACTCCTAGATCTACGTATGATATGAAACGTGACGAGAGGCCACACAGATTATTTGTCAAGTCAAAAATGATACAAAACTCTGGTCCAACCTTTCAAATGTATTGTGTTTTTATGATTTTTTAATGTAAAATATTACCCGAAGAATTAAAAAAAAAAGAACATGGATCATTTTATACTCATGGTAATATTCTATTATTACGTTTTGTGTATTCAAAGAGACCCTTAGGGACAGGGATTGCAGATTAGCTGTTGATTAATTAATGCTGTATTATCTTTCATTGGTTCTTATAATTGTCCCTTTACTTTTAAATAGAAAATGGTCACTACTAATCACAGCAGTCGAAAACATTGAATGGAGAACGATGGGTTAGGGTTATCTCTGGCATCTCTGAATGTAGGACGGGTCAAATGGGAAGTAGTGTTAAACGGAAATATTTAAGGACAGTATAAGCGACTCACAATTGCACAATACTTGTTTAAATGAGCTTACCAAAGCTGTCCATTTGAGTCATTTTAAAACATAAAAAAGTACCAACCATCTTAATTAAATTCAGTTTTTGCAACAAAAAACATTCTTTTAACACATTATTTAATGTTAAAATTAAATAAAAAAGTTCTGCACCAGGTGTAACAAACAGGAACAGGGGAAAACGACTTTCTCACGTCTTTGTAAATTACTGTAACTCCCCTTCCTTTTCTCTGCACTTGCTCTTTGTACGTCACGTCAAGATTTATTTCAGCGTTGATTGATGGAGTGACCTGACTACAATAGGAGACGTTGCATTGTGTATTTTAGGAAGATATTTAATTCTTAACACGGAAATGGGGATTTCTTTTTTCACCCCCTCTTTCAGGTGTACCTCGCTCCGTCTGTCTCTTGCTCGGAGACTGGAACCTTCTGGGCAACAAGGGGCCACAATGTGCTGGGAAGGGGAGCACTTGAGCTGCAGCGATGTGGATGGACGTTGAAGGGGGGGTTGCTCATTGTTCCCCGGGAGCTTTTGTCTCAGACACAGTCCCCTTATGAGGGTTAATGAGGACAAATTGCTCTGAGTGTAACAAATGGATTATGGAGTTGGACAAAAGGTTGTATTTTGTGGGCTGCGTTTGCCGGGATCCACCCATCATCTGCCCATTGAGCCGAGCACACTGACTAGCGCCTGCATGAAGTGGCTCACTAAATATCTCATTATCTTTATCCGGTCTGTTTTATTACATGAGCACATTATGCATGCAGCCCCCTACTGTGAATGTAAACCAAAATGTAAACTTTAAATTACTATAATACAATTTTGTAATCCCCGGCTTATTTCCTACGGTTTATGTGTAGAAAATAAAGTCAAAATGTCAACATTAGTGTCAGTGGTTAGTGCTCTAAGGTTGGGTGGGCATAGTGTACCCTTTCAAATGAACAAAGAGCCACTTCCTCATTGACTCTATGCAAGTCCTGCCTGTCAATCAGTCCTCCCTCTGCCCTGATTTCTTATAATGTCTTGGGAACCTCGGTTAAAAGACAAAGAGGTGTTCCTTGTGTTCCAGTTGTATTTTTTTTTGGTAGGGTCGATGGAGAGGATTCATATCTATTCATATCTCACAAACTCCTAATGGGCTCCAAGCTCTCCAAAAAGAAAGCTCTTTCCTGTGACTAGTCAGCTCCAGTCTTTATTCATCTGTGGCTCCGTGTCAAAAAAGACTGTTGCTCGTTTGTGCCCCGAACAATGAGGAACAAGGCTAAATCTCTAGCCAGGAACAAAGGACAGAAAACAGGCTTTTCACTCTGCAGAACATTAGATTCTGACACATTTTGCCATGGCAGTTTTTTCCCCATCCTGAGTGCTGTGGCTCTGGACTTTTATAGAGACCACCTGTTGGCAACAAGCCTGTTCTTTATTACAGGCAAGCCTATTATCACAGGATGAGGAGCGCCACAGGCTAACTTTCTAAAGTTAACCCTGCTGCAGTTTCCAAAGCTGGCCCGATTGAGAAACATAGCTTACGTATTACAACTGGAAAAATATATTTGTGCTTGTCATTTTGTATCTTGATTTGAATAAGGGCTTATGGCGGAAGTAATTAAGTACTTCATTCATGCCCCTGTCAGTTACAAATCTCACATACAAAAGGACTCGGATGTAGGCAGCTTGAATGTTCTATAACTACTAATTTAGAGCCAAATTCAAATGCATTGTTAGAAGAAAACCCAAATGTACTTACTGTAAAGTTGTTGATGGTGGTCTTGTGTTTTTCACTCAATTATTTCTAGCGTGGAGAGGGTTTTTGTTCTCCTTTTGAAAGCAGATTTGAGCAATTTCCCACCCCTAACACATTAGCATAACTACAGCATGGTAATGATTTTCACAACTCTATGTAAACTAAAAAGTACTGTTGGTTGCAATATGAAGCAA